CTCACACCACGAAAAGCCCGAACGACTCACACCAGGACGAAGAGCCCGAACGACTCACACCACGAAGAGCCCGAACGACTCACACCAGGAAGAAGGGCCCGAACGACTCACACCAGGACGAGAAACCCCAAACGCCTCAAACCACGAGGAGCGCTTTCTCTCCCTCCTCCTCCGGCTCGTCCTTCTCCCGCTCCCCCCACAAGGAGGATGTACAAGGAGGCGGGAGGAAGGAGGAACAGGGGAGATATGCGGGGCCAAACGGACACACGCCTGAAAAACACGACTGTCGGCATGCTTCGCATGAAAAAAAAAACAAAAAAAAAAAAAAAAAAAAAAAAGTTTAGCCTTGTTGTGAGATGGGCTGGATCCTGACTGTTTTCGAAGAATTTTCTGCTGTTCTCGCAGTCGTCGTCGCATTCGCGATGACAGTCGCAGTGGCAACGGCAGTCGCAGTCACAGCCTCAGCCTCAGCCTGCCTCAGCCTCAGCCTCAGCCTGCCTCAGCCTCAGCCTGCCTCAGCCTCAGCCTCAGCCTGCTTCATCCTCAGCCTCAGTCTGCCTTCAGCCTCGGCCTCAGCCTCAGCCTGCCTCAGCCTCAGCCTGCATCAGCCTCAGCCTCAGCCCCAGCCTGCCTCAGCATCAGCCTGCCTCAGCCTCAGCCTCAGCCTGCCTCAGCCTCAGCCTCAGTCTGCTTCAGCCTCAGCCTCAGTCTGCCTTCAGCCTCGGCCTCAGCCTCAGCCTGCCTCAGCCTCAGCCTGCCTCTGCCGCAGCATCAGCCTGCCTCAGCATTCAAAATGTGGCCCAGGAATGGAGTTCTGGGAACTAGAAGAACACGAAGTGGCCTACAGTTGGCTCCGGGCATTCAAAATCATGCCCTGGAATGGAGTTCTGGGAACTTGAAGAGCACGAAGTGGCCTACAGTTGGCTCCGGGCATCCAAAATGTGGCCCGGGAATGGAGTTCTGGGAAATCGAAGAGCACGACGTGCCTAACAGTTGCTCCGGGCCAGATCCAAAATGTGGCCCGGGAATGGAGTTTTCTGGTGTCGAACAGGGCACGAATGGCCTACAGTTGGCTCCGGGCATCCAAAATTTTGCCCGTTAAATGGAGTTTCTGGGAGCGCCAAAAGCGATTTGGCGAGGATGGGGGCCCTAGACCCTTGTTCCAGGCTTCCTGCGGCAGCCGCGGCGGCAGCCTGTCCGGGTCCCGCCCAGACCCCCCTGAGGAGTCATGATGCTCTCTTTTGAGACCACTAGAAACCTATCAGCAAGAGCTGTTAGGTAAATTATCCCGGCAAAGCAACCTAACAGCGATGTGTAGAAGCATATCTGAAAGCATTCCCCTTAAGATTCCGATGAAAATCCAGTTGTCGAATTCTGCTGTTCTCGCAGTCGTAGTCGCATTCGCGATGACAGTCGCAGCGGCAACGGCAGTCGCAGTCACAGCCTCAGCCTCAGCCTGCCTCAGCCTCAGCCTCAGCCTGCCTCAGCCTCAGCCTCAGCCTCAGCCTGCTTCAGCCTCAGCCTCAGTCTGCCTTCAGCCTCGTCCTCAGCCTCAGCCTGCCTCAGCATCAGCCTGCCTCAGCCTCAGCCTCAGCCTCAGCCTGCCTCAGCATCAGCCTGCCTCAGCCTCAGCCTCAGCCTGCCTCAGCCTCGGCCTCAGTCTGCTTCAGCCTCAGCCTCAGTCTGCCTGCAGCCTCGGCCTCAGCCTCAGCCTGCCTCAGCCCCAGCCTGCCTCGACCGCAGCATCAGCCTGCCTCAGCATTCAAAATGTGGCCCAGGAAAGGGAGTTCTGGGAAGTCTAAGAGCACGAAATTGCCTACAGCTGGCTACGGGCATTCAAAATGTGGCCCGGGAATGGAGTTCTGGGAACTCGAAGAGCACGAAGTGGCCTACAGTTGGCTCCGGGCATTCAAAATGTAGCCCGGGAATGGAGTTCTGGGAACTCGAAGAGCACGAAGTGGCCTACAGTTGGCTCCGGGCATTCAAGATGTAGCCCGGGAATGGAGTTCTGGGGAATCGGGAATCAGAAGACCACGAAGTGGCCTACAGTTGGCTCCGGCATTTCAAAATGGGTGGCCCGGGAATGGATTTCGGTGAATCGAAGAGCACGAAGTGGCCTACAGTTGGCTCCGGGCATTCAGAATGTGGCCCGGGAATGGAATTCCTGGGGAGGGAGGTCGAAGAGCACGAAAGAGCACGAAGTGTGTGACTGTTGGCTTAAAACGACTTCTGCGGCACCCTGTCCGGCACCCGCCCAGACCCCCCTGTGGAGTCATCTGCTGTTCTCTTTTTAGCCCATTAGAAACCTATCAGTCTTCGCTGTTAGGTAAAAACTCCCCGCAGGGGGGGGAATTATACACCGCTGCGAGCCGACCTCGACCTTACACCTAGAAGGAGAAACGGCATAATCATAAACTTTTGGCGATCCGCGCTGATTCATTGGATCTGCGCTGGACCCTCCCTGGCGCGCGGAGCGCGCCAGGGGCGACGCCGGAGGCGCCGCCGGAGGGGCCCCGCACGGATCCAAGAAATCCGCGAGGATCTATGTTTATGGCGTTTTTGTTCTTCGAACTCCTCGGTTCGACTCCATGAGCATTGGGAGCGCGCAAACATAGATTAGCGATCCATGGATTTGGCGCGCGGTCGCCAAATCCATGGTTCGGGGGAGGTGCCCTCCCCAAAATGCGGCCAGAGGCGCCTCCTTCGGCGGCGGAAATCCGAGATTTCCCATGGAAACGGGGCCCGTCGCTAACCCACGCCCCCTTGATCCATGTTTGCGATCGCCTGAGAGTAGCCTTACGTTGTTCCCATCGCAACCACACCCTAGACATAATCTCGGCCACCCAGGCAATTGACGAAACAATGCCAGACGAGTATCGCCTCCCAGGGCCCGACACGCGAAAGCCCTCCAGCTGCGGTACTTTCTCGTGGTGCTCGAAATCCTTGCTGGCGATCAAGGCTACAGGAGGTTGGAACATCATAGAGGAGCCGAGCCCCCGAGGCCCCCGCCTTGGCCGCGGCCGTGCCGGCGAAGCCTCTCGCGCCGCCGCGGAGCGCGGGGCGGGCCCCCTGCAGCGGCGCCGCGGAGCACGTGGCCTCGGCGCCGCCGCGGCCCGTCGGCGCCGTCGTCGTCGTCGTCGTCGTCGTCGTCGTCGTCGTCGTCGTCGTCGTCGTCGTGGTCGTCGTCGTCGTCGTCGTCGTCGTCGTTCGTCGTCGTCGTCGTCGTCGTCGTCGTCGTCGTCGTCGTCGTCGTCGTCGTCATCGTCGTCGTCGTCGTCGTCGTCGTCGTCGTCGTCGTCGTCGTCGTCGTCGTCGTCCGTCGGTCGTCGTCGCGGCGGCGGCGGCGGCGGCGGGGCGGCCGGCGGCGTCGGCGTCGGCGGGTCGGCGTCGGCGTCGGCGTCGGCGTCGGCGTCCGGCGTCGCGCGTCGGCGTCGGCCGTCCGGCGTCGGCGTCGGCGTCGGCGTCGTCGTCGTCGTCGTCGTCGTCGTCGTCGTCGTCGTCGGCGTCCCCGTCGGCCTCGGCGGCGTCGGCGTCGTCTTCGTCGGTCGGCGTCGGCGTCGCCGTCGTCGTCGGCGTCGGCGTCGGCGGCGGCGGCATCGTCGGCATCAGCATCAGCATCGGCGTTGGCGTTGGCGTCGGCGTCGTTGACGTCGGCGTCGGCGTCGCCCGATGTCGCCCGCTGCCATCGTTTTCAGTCGACAGCGACGGCCTCGCTGTCGTCGTCGACGATCGGCGGCGGCGTCGGCGTCGGCGTCGACTGGGGGGGGGAAGGGGGGAGGAGGGAAGGAGGAGGGATGAATGAGGAGCCAGGTCACCATCCTTTGCGATGCGCGACGCGCGATTATCTTCGCGCCCTCGCGCCCCCTCGCCTCCCCCTTGGGGAAAGGTAGCCGCTCTGGCCCAGACTACATTTGCGCCCCCGCGGATGGCCTGGAGGGAAGGGCGGAGGGCAGGAGAAGCAAGGTGATGGAGAGGGAGAACGCCACAGAAGACGAAAGCCGCAACGAGGCACCCTCGCACAGTCAAACTTACTTGGAGAGGGCACGCGAGAGGACACAAGACCCTTCCGAGGGCCATGTTGCCATAGGAATCTAAAGGCATTGGTCGCGGAACACCGGACACGAGGGTGGCTTTGATTTGGCAGGGTCGACCTACTAATCAAGCTCAACTGTACGAAGAGGAGGAGGAGGAAAAGGAGGAGGTGGATGAGGAGAAGGAGGGAGGAGGAGGAGGAGGAGGATCAATGAGGATCACTGACCAAACTGCCAGGACTGCCAGCGGGCCGCCTTTGAACAGCCCCTGGTCCGAGGAGGGATTGTCAGGATGGTCAAGGGGGGACACCCACCAGCTGGGGAAACCCAGCTCGCAACCTGTTCGACGGAGGGGGAGGAGGAAGAGGAGGAAGAGGAGGAAGAGGAGGAAGAGGAGGAGGAGGAAGAGGAGGAGGAGGAGGAGAAGGAGGAGGAGGAGGAGGACGAACAGGAGGAGGAAGAGGAGGAGGAGGAGGACGAACAGGAGGAGGAAGAGGGAAGGAGGAGGAAGGAGAGGAGGATCGAGGAGGAGGAGGATGAGAAGGAGGAGATGGAGGGAGGAGGAGGAGGAGGAGGGAGGAGGGGAAAAGGAGAGAGGAAGAGAGGAAGAGGAAATAAAGAAAAAAAGGAAAAGAAGAGAAAAAAAAAAAAGAAAAAAAAGAAAAGAGGAAAGAAAAGAAAAAAAAGAGAAAAAAAACAAAAAAAAGAAAAGAAAAAGAAAAAAAAAAGAAAAAGGAAAGAAAAAGAGGAGACCAAAGATAAAAAAAGAAGAAAAAAGAAAAAGAAAAGAATCAGCAGCAGCAGCAAGAGGAGGAATACGCCGGGAGGGCCAAGGCGTCCTGACAGAGGCCAGCTGGCTGCAGCCCGCGCAGCAGCGAGCGCCCGCGCTGCGCGCGCAGGGCCCCCCTGCACAGGGCGCTCATCCCCGCTGCCTTCGGGGGCGGCGGCGAAGACGGCGCGACAACGGCGACGCCAGCAGGAGGCGGCGACGACGGAAGCTTCGACGACGACGACGACGACGACGACGACGACGACGACGGCGACCATAGCGGCGGCGACCATGGCGGCGGCGGCGGCGGCGGCAACAACGACGGCGACGGCGGCGACGAAAACGAGAGGTGTGGGGAGAGACGCAGGAAGGGGGAGGAGGAGGGATGATGAGGAGGGATGAGGAGGAAGGAGGAGAAGGAGGAGGCAGAGCAGCATGAGCTGGACGAGGAGCAGGCGCAGTAACGGCAAGAGGAGTACAACAGCGAGGCGGAGGGGGTAAGGATGGTCACTCAGGTACATGATGAGCTAGGTCAACTGACTTCGCGCATCGCGCCCCGCGATGCTCGGCGCGCGGTTGTCTTCGCGCTCCTGCGCCCTCGCGCCGCCCCCTGGAGAAGGGCAGCTCTTCAGTGCAGTCCCGACCACGCCGCGAGAAGCGGGATCATCTTCGCGCCCCCGCGGGTGACGGAGATGGTGGAGGCGATCCATCCGCCTGCCGCACTCTGGCAAGCTGGGCTTCTGCAGACACATCTTCATTGCCCTCGCACTCGCGCTGCGCACGCTCCAAAGCAGCGAGCGCCTCGGGCGGTTCCAAAAAAGGTGGCTGTGAGAGGGCAGATGATGATAAGAATGACACGCTCTCGAAGCGTGGTGACCCGGAGCTTTAACATGTTGCTACTCAGAACTGGGAGCTGAAGCTGTGAAAGTTCATCCCCCAGGCGCTCAACACTTGCCTGGCATGTGCCCAGCCTTCCGCAGGGTCGCGTCCACCGCTTGGGCTGTACTTCTCGATCAACGCTGTCTGGTTGGATGAGGAGGAGGAAAAGGAGGAGGAGGAGGAAGAGGAGGAAGAGGAGGACCAGTATCAACTCAAGACTCACCAATCATGTTGCATTAAGCCCTCCCGCCACACTCCCTCCTTATAGGTCCCTAGAAAATTCACTTTCACTGAAAGAAATGCTCCATTAGAACTAATCGCCTGAAAATCCTGAACCGTGCCAGAACACCGTTCCAGGGACTTCAACGCCGCGAATCAACGCTACTGTTGCGTCCCGACGATCTAGAATCGTGCCAGAACACCATTCCTGGGATTTCAACACCGCGACTCAACGTAAATGTTGCGCCTTGACAATCTTACATCGTGCCAGAACACGTGCTCTGGTACGCAAGCCAGAAGAATCTTTGTAACTGCGGTGAACTCTTAAAACGAAGGTGCAGCGCTTAAGCGAGAGCCACTGTTTCAAAATCGCCCGCTCTCCATCCGTGAAGGTTTTGCAAACATTTACGACGAATGTGCACGGCGCCAAAGCGAGAGCCACATTTGAAAACCGCCCGCCCCCCATCAGTGAAACCCTTGCAAACTATTGAGACGAGTGTGCGCGGCGCCGAGGCGAGAGTCACATTCTGGAAACCGCTGGCCCTCAATCAGTGAAGCTCTTGCAAATGTTTAGGACGAGCGCGCGCGGCGCTAAGGCGAGAACCACATTATGAAAACGACCCGCCCTCCATCCGTGAAGCTGTTGCAGAATTTCAGCTTGAGGATCATGGTGGGGACGTTTCAGGCGGAACGCCCGGTCCGCCCTACCGACACGCCTCTGGGTGCGACAGGGAGGAGATAAGGAAGAGGAGATGGAGGGAAAAGAGGAAGGGTCGTGGGGAGGGACTATGCGGCGGGTCCTGGGCGTCGGCGTCCTTCCGCGAGTCCTGAGTGAGGCTGGGAACTCACCTTGCCTCCCCGTCCTGTGGGGACTCACCCTCTTAGGCCTCAGCGGGGTTGCTCGCTCTGCTTGGCCGCCGCCGCTTTTTTTTGTTTGCTTCTCTCTCTCTCTCTCTATGTCCCGCCCCTGTCGGCTGCTGCCGCTCGTTGCTCTCGGAAAGGCTAGATCGTGGATGCCCCTGCGTGGGCGTTTTCGACAACCCTGAACCCGAAAACGTGTTCATCTCTTGGGGGCGCACGTGGTACTTCCGCCGAGCTCCCGCCGGCGGAGGCGGCCTCGTTCTGCTTCCGCCGCCCTCCCGCCGCGGCAGAGATGACAACTCCATCGATCCTCGAAGGCCAGGGCCCTGCTGGCGACGCCCCACGCGGCCCGTGGGAGCCCCCCTCGTCCGCCCGCGCCCGCCCGCGCGCCGAGCGCTGGGCCAAAGCCTCCGACGGGCCCCGAGGTCCGTGGAGATCTCCCCGCGGCCATCGGCGTCGAGGCCGCAGCTCACCGAGCCGTGGTGGGCGGATGCGCTCGCGGCAGGCGGGGACTGCCACTGCCACGTCGTCGGCCAGTGCCCGCCGCTCGGAAGAAGTGGGCAGAAGCACGGAAGCAGGACTCGGGGGCGCGCAAACATGGAATAGCGACCCATGGATTTGGCGCGGGGTCGCCAAGTCCATGCATCGGGGGAGGTGCCCTCCCCAGAATGCGGCAGGTGCCGCCTCGCTCGGCGGCGGAAATCCGCGATTTCCCACGGAGACGGGACCCGTCGCTAATCCACGCCCCCTTGATCCATGTTTGCGACTGCCTGAAGGAAGGCGCTGCAAGCAGACTGGGTTCCCGCCCACCCCCGAACGAGGCGGAAAAGGGGACGCCACTCGACCATTGAGGTAGGGAGGCGCCTTAAGTAGCTAGGAGCCTGGGAATCCAAAAATGGAAGGCGAAAACCCACCCCCACCCCCAGTCCCGACCTCATCCCCGAACCCGCGATCCAGGGGGCCGGGACTCGGGGTAGGGGGCGGTCCTTCGGGGTCCAGGAGCGGAGAAATATCCCCCCGCCCCCAATCCCGACCCCATTGAATCGCCGGCTCGGGGAGGAGAGTGGGGCCTGGGGGTGGGGGTGGGCGTTCCCCTTCCTCTCTCTCTCTCTCTCCCCTCCTCCTCCTCTCTCTCTCTCTCCCCTCCTCCTCCTCCTCCTCCTCCTCCTCCTCCTCCTCCTCCTCCTCCTCCTCCTCCTCCTCCTCCTCCTCCTCCTCCTCCCTCCCCCTCCTCCTCCGCCTCCTCCTCCTCCCTCCTCCTCCTTCCTCCTCTCCTCCTCCTCCTCCGCCTCCTCTCCTCCTCCTCCTCCTCCGCCTCCTCCTCTTCGTCATTTTCGTCATCCTCCTGATCCCCTTCCTCCTCTCCCTTTCCCCCTCCTCTCCCCCGTCTACTCAGTCCCTCCTCCACCTCCGCCTGTCGTCGTCTCCTTCCTACTCCTCCTCCTCCTCCTCCTCCTCCTCCTCCTCCTCCTCCTTTCTGCTCTTCCTCTTCCTCCTCCTTCTGCTCTTCCTCTTCCTCCTCCTCCTCCTCCTCCTGCTCTTCCTCCTCCACCTCCTCCTCCTCCTCCGCCCTCCTCCTCCTCCATCTCCTCCTCCTCCTCCTCCTCCTCCTCCTCCTCCTCCTCCTCCTTCGAGGCGACAATGCAAGAGGAAGGAGGCGGCGGCGCCAGCCTGCGACAAAAACTCGCGGGGCTCACGGCCCCAGCCCCCCCCCCTGGCAAAAGCTGCCTCGAGCCGTAACGGGAAGGTCGCGCGGGTTGGTTGCCGATCTTGGGGCGAGGGTTACTGGCGGCCGATGGGGACGGCGACGAGGAGAGCGTCTGGGATGACTTGCTGAGCACAGCACGCAAGGTACAAAGGATGAGTAAGAGAAGAGAAGAGAGAGGACATAGGAGAAGGAGAAGGAATGGGAGAAAGAGCATAACGAGGAGGATCATGCTGAGGAGGAGGAGGAGGTGGAAGAGGAAGGTACAACGGATGAGTAAGAGGAGGAAAAACGAGAGGACACAGGAGGAGGAATACTATGAGACTATGAAGAGAGAAGGCGGAACCCGCCGCTGTTGTGCCCGCCCTTCCCCCGAATGGCGCCCCCCCCCCCTGCCCTTGTCTGTCTCCTCCCCCCTGCCCCACCCGACACGGCGAGGAGGAATGGGGCGGAGGCTGCAGAGGAGGAAGAGGTGGAGGAGGAGAAGGAGTAGGAGGAGGGGGAGGCAGAGGAAGAGGAAGAGAAGGAGGAGGAGGACGACGACGAGGAAGGAAGAGGAGGAGGAAAAGGAAGAGTACAGTTATTCTTCGTATTCCTGCTACTACTACTACTAGTACTACTACTACTACTACTACTACAACTACTACTACTACTACTACTTCTACTACTACTACTACTACTACTACTACTACTACTACTACTACTACTACTACTACTACTACTACTACTACTACTACTACTACTATTACTACTAAGACTACGACTACTACTACGACTCCCACTACTACGACTACTACTACTACTACTACTACTACTACTACTACTACTACTACTACTACTAGGGTCAAACCTCACCTTCGTGTCTACTAAGAATGAATGGGTAAGGGTAAGGGTAAGAGTAAGGGTTCGGGTTCGGGTTCGGGTTCGGGTTCGGTTCTGCACAATCACTTAAAACCAAATAGAATAGCATAGAATAATCGGAGTTTAATCGTACACGAAGCAGGAGTTCGGAAACCCACAATTTCGCCATTCGCTGATGGGAAAACAATACAGGGGCTATAGAGCTAATAGTACACGAAGATGAGGTTCGGAAGCCCACTGATTCTAATAGTACACGAAGAAAGGGGTTCGGAAAACCACAATTTCGCCGTTCGCTCGTAAGAAAACAGTACAGGGGCTATAGAGCCAATAGTACACGAAGGTGAGGTTCGCAAACCCATTGTGGAAAACAAACAGCGTTCCTCTTTTCCTGCTCGCTTTCCTCTTCCTCATTCTCCTCCTCCCCCTCCTCCTCCTCCTCCCCCTCCTCTTCCTCCTCCTCCTCCTCCTCCTCCTCCTCCTGCCCCCTCCTCCTCCTGCCTGTCCCCCACCTCCTCCTCCTCCTCCTCCTCCTCCTCTTCCCCTCGCCTCCCCCTCCTCCTCCTCCTCGTCTTCCACTCCTCCTCCTCCTCCTCCTCCTCCTCCTCCATCCTCCCCCTGCTCCCTCCCTCCTCCCCCTCCTCGTCCTCCTCCTCCTCCTCCTCCTCCGTCTCTACTCCTCCTGCTTCCCTCCTCCTCTTCGCCTCCTCCTCCTCCTCCTCCTCCTCCTCCTCCTCCTCCTCTCCTCCTCCTCCTCCTCCTCTCCTCCTCCTCTCCTCCTCCTCCTCCTCCTCCTCCTCCTCCCCCCTCCTCCTCCTCCTCCTCCTCCAGTCCTCCTCCTCCTCCTACTCCTCCTCCGCCTCCTCTACTCCTCCTCCTCCTCCTTCCTCCTCCTCCTCCTCCTCCTCCTCCCTCTCCTCCTCCCTCCTCCCCCTCCTCCTCCTCCCCCTCCTCTTCCTCCTCCTCATCCTCCTCCTCCTCCTCCTCCTCCTGCCCGTCCCCCACCTCCTCCTCCTCCTCCTCCTCCTCCTCCTCCTCCTCCTCCTCCTCCTCCTCCTCCTAACCATCACGAACCAGAAACGAATAAAACCAAAATGCCTTCCCGAATAAAACCAAAACGACGTCCTTATGAAAACCCACTCTCAAGTGGACCAGAGGGCCACGATCATCGTGAGGGGTGTTCCGGCATGGGGCGTCGGTGGGCCGTCGGCAGCGCTCCACATTGGGCCAGGGCCACGATCCATGTGAGAGGTGTGCCGAACTTCAGCGTCGGGCGGCGATCCAAATTTGGCGAGGTCTACGATCCGTGTGCGGGGTGCGCCGATACTGCTCATCGGTGGGCCGTCGGCAGCGCTCCCAAGTGGGCCAGGACACGATCCTCGTGAGCGGCGTGCCGGAATTGGACGTCGGTGGGCCTTCGGCAGCGCTCCCACTTGGACCAGGGCCACGATCCTAGTGAAGTGCGCGCCGGAATCGCGCGTCGGAGGGCCAGGCCCACGATCCTCGAGAGGGTTGTGCCGAAATGAAGCGGCTGGCAATGGCGGTTGCTCCAAATCCGACGTCGACACGAAGGACAGGTGTAAAACTGTCGTTTTTTGTTCACTTTCTAATACGAATCCAATCTACAGCCTCTACAGCGAGTAGTGCACGAAGGTAGGCATTGGCGCGAAAGACACGAAGGCCAGGTTTGAAACTACGGTTTTCGTAATTATCGTGGCCTCCGCCTCGGCCTCGCTCGTGGGAGCGTCGCGCCGCTGCCACGCCCTGGGGACGACTGTCCCGGCCGTGCGGGGGGCTGCGCTCGTCCCCAGCCTCCCCCTGAGGAGGTCGTCGACAGCCTCCTCTCTCTGAAGAAGGCGCCGGGACGAGGACAGCATCGGGCGAGGATGAAACCGAGACTCTCCGAAATCTGGCGGATCTGCAGGATGTCTCGGGCGCCGCGGTCCTCTCAGCTCGTTGCGGAACGCTCTGAGCGCGTTCCAGAACGCGCTGGAACGGATTTATCCTCGTCCTAGCCCCGCCCGATCTCTCCTCCTCGTGATGGTAACCCAGGGGCTCGCAGAAACCAAATCCAGGGGCTCGCAGAAACGAATTGGTCGCGCCGAGGATCGCCCGCACGCCCCGCACGTCGGAACCAGCAGCCGAGAACCCCTGGGCGCGCGTGTTGGGGTGATTGAGTATCGTTTTACCGATCCCCATCCCCAGCGGCGTCGCCTGGGCCCCACTGGCCGATTTACCCCCCTAGATGGGGATATAGGTCGTTCCCTTCGGGTTTCGAAGGGTGTATCCCCAACTGGGGAGGTAATTTGGTGGGGGTCTCGAAAGGGATGGGGATGGGGATGGGGGTCGGATAAACGATACTGGGTGACGAGGGCGGACGAGCGAAGGAATGCGGGTGTCCTCCGCGTCGTCCTCGTCCTCGTGGTCGGCGTCGGCCGCGGACCCCCGCGCGCGAGTGGCCCGCGTAGGACGCAGACGGCAGCGGCATCCTCCTCCTCCTCCTCCTCCTCCTCCTCCTCCTCCCCCTCTTTTTCCTCCGCCTCCCACTCTTAATCAAAACGACGGGCTCGCGCTCACGCAAGCCCGTCGTGTCGGGCCGTCGGCGCAGACGGCAGAGGCCTCAGGGAAAGGGGCTGGCTGACCGGCGGGAGCTGCAATGCGGGTCGGGGCGGAGACGACCACTCAGAGCCGTGCGGTCCGCGCGGGGCTCCCGGAGGAGCGCGTGGGCGTGCGCACGGGAACCTTGGAGGTCGGCCCGAAGCTCGTGCAGGAGCACGTCTCGGGGGACGTCTCCTTGTGTGATCCTCCTGGGCGCCAGGGCTCCAGGGGCTGATCCACGCGCGCGTCGCCGCGGATGCCGTCTGGGACTCCACGGGGTGTGTGTGCGCGCCCTCTGACGCGGCGTGGGGCAGCGTGGAGCAGCACAAGGGCCGAGGGATGGGGGAGCGCGGGAAGACGACCGACGAGCGGCACGCGCACGCCGAGGCAGCCGACGAGGGTCGACTCTCCGACGCGCATGGCGAGGAAGCCCCTGCCGAACGCCTCCCGGGCCAGGCCCGGCGAAAAAGCGGCCGCCGAGGCGGCCGCCGCTCTCCGCACGCGCATGCCCACCGAAGCGCTGGCTCGGCGGGCCGGGTCCAGGCCTCCTCCTCCTCCTCCTCCTCCTCCTCCTCCTCCTCCTCCTCCTCCTCCTCCTCCTCCTCCTCCAGGGGGAGCGGCAGCACGCGGGGGGCCGTGGCGCGATCCGGCGGGAGCCGGGAGGAGGGAAGGACGCAGGGCTGAACCTAAAGTGTGTGTGTGTGTGTGTTCGTCTTCGCTTTCGCGTCGCTCTCCCTCGTCCTGTCGTCAGGTCCGCCTCTGCAGCACAAAGGGGCATCGAAGCGGAAGCGGCCCACGAGATCGCCAAAACGCCGTTCAGGTCCACCCCTGCTTCCAACCTCCCCCCCCCCCGAGGCCCCGGAGGCGCTCCATTTCCACGTCCACGCCATCGCGTGCAGATTCCGCGGCTGGAAGGCCGCGGGTCAGCCCTAGTCTCTACTGCAATGCAGGGGCCCGCGCGCGTGGGAAAGGCGGGCGACGGGGAAGGCGGGCGACAGGGAAGGTCCAGCCCTGGAATAGGGAAACAACAAGTGGCATAAACATAAAAACTTGGAGGTCCGCGCGGATTTCTCGGATCCGCGCTGAACCCCCTCCCTGCCGCGCCAGGGGCGGCGCCGGAGGCGCCGCCGGGGGGGCCCCAGTGCCGATCCGAGAAATCCGCGCGGACCTCCGAGTTTTTCTGTTTATGTCACTTTTTGTTCCCCTATGGTCCTCGAGCCTCGAGCCGCCGTCGAACCTCGCACCTCCCCTGTTTTTGTTGCCTCCACCGGGCCACCGCCCCGGTGCCCGCCCCGAGCTCCAGGGCGGCGGCGCCCTGGAGGAGCGACGAGATCGCCAAAACGCCGGTGAGGCCCAGCCCCGGAAGAGCGCGGGTGCGGGTGCGGTGCTGCGCGGGCGCGGATGCGGCCTGCCTGGGGGGGGAGGCTGCACCTGCAGCCTGCGCGCGCGCTCGGGGGCGGGGTCCTGTGAGCAGCAACGGCGACGGGGAGGGGCAGGCAGGCAGACCGACAGGCAGGCAGGCAAGGACAGACAGACAGACAGACAGAACGAGAGTGAAGGAGAGAGAGAGAGAGAGAGACATAAAACAAAGAGAGAGAGGATGGAGAGAGGGAGGGAGGGAGGGAGGCGGTGGGCATTTAGCCGACACAGGAGGATTGCAGAGTGAAGGCCGAAAGCGGTGGGTTGGGGCATTTTCCCCACCCTGGCATTGAGACCTTAGCGCTGTCTGGAGCGACCGCGGAGGCTCAGCGGATGCAAAATGCTTCGCATTATGTTCCGTCGGCCAAGGAAGTGGCCGAATCTCTGATACTGCGAATCTGCGCATCATCCGAACAGTCAGACGCCCCGCCTCACCTGAGCCCCAGCTCCCACTGCCTCCTCTCACTTGAGAGGTACATTCGAGACGCTAGAGAAACCTAGAGCACACAACTTGGCACACCGAAAAATAATGGTATTGCTGCATTGCTACGGTATTGCAAGCGACTGGCATTCTGTAAAATAATGCCCACGCATACAATCGTTACCACACCTCCCTTTGGATGTGCAGAACTCTCTATGTCAGAAAATTCGTAGAGAAAGATGGCGAGCTCAGGCTCTGCCATTTGCGGAAATCGGGAGCGCAGCTCCACGTTAGCAACGGCGGGCATCATCGGATCGAGGGGCCTCTCACGGGAACCCATTGCATAAAAGGAGGCTGTGGGCTGGTGTGTATGTGTGTATGTGTGGCTATGTGTACATGTGTACGTGTTTATGTGTATGTGTATGTGTATGTGTATGTTTACGTGTACAATTATGCGAATATGGGCGTACGTGTGCATGTGTGTATGAGTGTACGTGTATGTGTATATGTGTGTATGTGTGTACGTGTACATGTGTGTATGTGTATGTGCGTGTATGCGTGTGTATTTGTGGTTGTGTGTATGTGTGAGGGTGTATGTGTGTGTATGTGCGTATGTGTGTATGCGTGTAGGTGTGTATGTGTGCATGTGTATGTGTTTATGTTCGCATGTGTATGTGTGTAGGTGTATGTGTGTATGTGTGTATGTGTATGTGTACGTGTGTGTATGTGTATGTGTGTGGTTGCGCGTGGTTTAGTGTGTGTGTGGTTGGTCGTGTGTGTGTTGTTGGTTGTGTGTATGGTTGGTTGCGTGTGTGGTTAGTTGTGTGTGGTTGGTTGTATGTGTGGTTGGTTGTGTGTGGTTCGTGGTGGGAGTGGTTGGTTGTGTGTGGTTGGTCGTGCGTGTGGTTGGTTGTGTGTGTGGTTGGTTGTGTGAGGTTGGCTGTGTGTGTGGTTGATTGTATGTGTGGTTGGTTGTGTGTGGTTGGTGGTGGGAGTGGTTGGTTGTGTGTGGTTGGTTGTGTGTGGTCGGTTGTGTGTGTGTGTGGTTGGATGTGTGTGTGGTTGGTTGTTTGTGTGGCTCGTTGTACGTGGTTGGTTGTGTGTACGGTTGGTTGTGTGTGTGGTTTGTTGTGTGAGTTTGGTTGGTTGAGTGTGTGATTGGCCGTGTGTGGTTGGTTGTGTGCGTGGTTGGTTGTGTGTGTGGTTGGTGTTGTGTGGTTGGCCATGCGTGGTTGGTTGTGCGTGTGGTTCGTTGTGTGTGGTTGGTTGTTTGTGGTTGGTTTTGTCTGGTTGGTGGTGGGAGTGGTTGGTGGTGTGTGTGGTTGGTTGGGTGTGGTTGTGTGTGTGGTTGTGTGTGATTGTGTGTGGTTGTGTGTGTGGTTGTGTGTGATTGTGTGTGGTTGTGTGTGGTTGTGTGTGGTTATGTGTGGTTGTGGGTGTGTGTGTGGTTGTGTGTGTGGTTGTGTGTGTGGTTGAGTGTGGTTTACGGGCGCAGCCCATAAATTTTCTGGAAGTAAGGTGACTGACTGACTGACTGGCTGACTGAACTGACCACTGAATCACCAAAGCCATTAGTCGGCAGTTTCATCACCAGGGTATGAGGATATTTCCCAAGCAAGTTCAGGCCAGGAGGTGAGGATATTTAGCTGGCAGTTGTAGGCCAGGGGCGGTGAGGATATTTCGCTGGCAGCTTCAAGCGAGAGGTGTGGATATCCCGCTTGCAGTTTAAGTCCAGGGGCGTTGCGGGGATTTCGTCGCTGGCAGTTTCTAAAGCCGGGGTGTGAGACAATTTCGCGGGCAGTTTTAGGCCAGGGGTTGAGGATATTTAGCTGGCAGTTTTAGGCCAGGGGCTGTGAGGGCATTTCGCTGCCAGTTTCAAGCGATGGGGCGTGAGGATATTTCGCTGGCAGTTTGAAGTCAGATGGTGAGGGTTTTTCGGTGGCAGCTCTAGCCAGGGGGTGGGTTTTTTTTGCTGGCAGTTCTCAGGGAGGGGTGTGATGAGATTTCCCACGCCAGGGGGTTGAGGATATTTCGACGGCAGTTTAAAGCCAGGGGGTTGAGCATATTGCGCTGGCTGTTTTTTTAAGTCCAGGGGTGAAGATACCTAGATGGCAGCTTTAGGTCAGGGGCGGTGAGAATATTCCGCTGGCAGACTCAAGCGATGGGGCGTGGGGATATTACGCTGGCAGTTTCAAGCGAGGGGTGTGAGGATATTGCGCTTGTAGTTCTAAGCGAGGGGTGTCAGGACATTTCGGTGGCAGTTTGGGCCAGGGGGTGGAGGATATGTTGCTTGCAGTTAAAAGGGATGAGTGTGAAGATATGTCGCAAGTCAGAGGATTGAGGATCTGTCGCTGGCAAGTTAAGCGAGGGGCGTGAGGATATGTCGCTGGCACTTTGAACTCCAGGGGATGAGGATACTTAGCTGGCCGTTTTAAGCCAGGGGCGTTGAGGATATTTCGCCGGCAGTTTCAAGCGATGGAGGGCGAGGCTATTTCGCCGGCAGCTTCAAGCGAGAAGTGCCAGAAAGGATATTTCGTTGTCAGTTTTAGGCCGTGGGATGAGGATATTTCGCTGAGTTGTGCGAGGATATTTCGCTGGTAATGTTACGCCAGGGCGGTGAGGATATTTCGCCGGCAGTTTGGGGCCTGGGGGTGGGGATATTTTGCTAGCACAGTTGAAAGGGAGGGGCATGATGATATTCCACACGTCATAGGATTGAGGATATGCCTCTGGTCTTTTCGAACGGGGGGCGTTGGGACATTTCGCTGGCTGTTTTAACTCCAGGCGGCGGGGATATTTAGCTGGCAGTTTTAAGCCAGGGGGCGTTGAGGATATTCCGCCGACAGTTTCAAGCGACGGGGCGCGAGGATATGTCGCCGGCAGTTTTAAGCGAGGGGTGCGAAGATATTTCGCTGGCAATTTCAAAGCCGGGCGGCGCTGATATTTCCCAGACGCCACCAGGCAGCACCTTGTGCCGCGCACGAGGCGACGGGAGGGGTGGGCGAGAGGGAAGACGGAGGACAAGGACGAAGAGGAGGCGGCAAAAGGGGGGGGGGGTCGGAAGTAGGGCCTGGGAGGAGTCGTGGTCGGCGCGGTCGGCGCGGGCATCCAAGCGCCACGCGATGAAATGCTAGGTCTTGGCCTGCTTGGCCCAGCCGAAGGCTGCGCGTGCAGCGCGGTGCTGCGCGCGCATATATGCTCGCCCCTTGACGTGGGGCTGGCGGGGGGCCAAGGGGCTAGAAGGCCAGTGTTTTGTGTGTGTGTGTGTGTGTGTGCGTCGTTGTGTGTGTGGTTGTGTGCGTGGTTGTGTGTGGTGCGTGGGTGTGCGCGTGGTTGTGCGTGTGCACTTGTTTGTGAGGTTGCGTGTGTGGTTGTGTGGGGGGCAATGCGTGTCTGTGGTTGTGTGTGGCTGTGTCTGTGATTGTGTGTGGTTGTGTGTGTATGGTTGTGTGCGTGGCTGTGTTTAGTCGTGTGCGCGATGGTGTGCGTGGTTGAGTGTGGTTGTGTCTGTGCGTGGTTGTACGCGTGGTTGTGTCTGTGGTTGTGCGCGTGGTTGTGCGCGCTTCTGCGTGCACGGTTGCGCATGTGGTTGCGCGCGTGGTTGCGCGTGGTTGTGTGCGTGGTTGCGTGCGTGGTTGTGTGTAATTGCGTGCGTGCTTGTGAATGTGCGGTTGCGTGTGAAGTTGTGCGCGTGGTTGCGTGCGTGGTTGCGTGTATGATTGTGTTGTGTAGTTGTGTGTGCGCGGCTGTGCGCGTGGTTGCGCGCTTGGTTGTGCACGAGGTTGTGCATGTGCGGTTGTGTGCATGGTTGTGTGCGTGGTTGTGTGTGGTTGTGCGTGTGGTTGTGCGCGTGGTTGCGTGCTTGGTTGTGTGTGTTGCATGTGGTTGTGCGCGGTTGTGCGCGGTTGTGTGCGCGGTTGTCTGCGCGCGCGATGGACGGGCGGGCGTGCGGACGGGCGTGTATGCGCGCGTTACTGCGTGCGTTTTTGTATGTGTGTGCGTTGGTGTGTGTACGTTGGTGTGAGTGCGTTGTTGTTTGTGTTGGTGCGTGTGGGCGGGCGGATGGGTGGGCGGGCGGGCGCGCGCGCGCGTGCCTGTGTCTGTCGGTCTGTCTGTCTGTCTGTCTGTCTGTCTGCCTGCGCGTTCTGCGTGGTCTGTGTGTTCTGCGTGTTCTGTGTGTTTGATGTGTTACGTCTTATGTGTTCTGTGTGTTCTGTGTGTTCTGTGCGTTCTGTGTGTTCGGCGCGCTATGCGTGTTCCGCGTGGTCTGTGCGCTCTGTGTGTTCTGCGTGTTCTCTGTGTGTTCTGCGTGTTCTGCGTGTTCTGTCTGCTCTCTGCGTTCTGTCTGGTCTGTGGGTTCTGCGTGGTCCATGTGTCCTGTGTGTCCTGTGTGTTCTGTGTGTTACGTGTGCTCTGTGTTCTATGCGTGGTCCGCGTGTACTGCGCGTTCTCTGCGCGTGCTGTGTTCTGTGTGTTATGTGTGTTTTGTGTGTTCTGCGTGTTATGTGTGTTCTGTGTGTCATATGTGTGTGCTGTGTTATGTGTGTTGTGCGTGCTCTGTCTGTTCTGTGTTCTGTGCGTGTTCTGTGCGTCCTGTGCGTGTCCTGCGTGTTCTGCGCGTGTCCTGCGTGATACGTGTCCTGCGTATGATGCGAGGTCCCTGTGTTCTCTGCGTGTTCTGCGTGTCCTGTGTGTTATGTGTGCTCTGTGTGTCTTCTGCGCGTGTTATGTGCGTGTTCTGCGCGTGTGCTGCGTGCACCCTGCGCGCCCTACACGCGGTCGCTGAAGATATCTTCCAGAAGAAACCCAACCCTGCGACCTCAGGACGGCCACTGATGTCTGGTGGGAACGTCACGCTTTCCATGGCAGAGCCATCGAAACCCAAGGAACACAGGGCACCCTGGAGGCAAGCAGGGTGCTCCTTGGCATGGGCCTCAGCAATAGATCGTCAACTCCGGCTTGGGCTTCTGCGTGGCATACGCTGCAGCCCCCGATGGGCCGTAGCGCTTCGTGGAGGGCCGTGGGTGGGGTGGCGTCGTCTGTCTCCAGGCCGGCCGCGGGGGCTACGGTCGGGAACTTTGCAGGGCGTGTCGCCGCGGCGGCCCCGGCGACACGGGCGGGTGGCGTGTCGCTCTCCGCAACCGCGGGGCGGGGGGCTCGAGAAAGCTCGAGAGGCGGACGCCTCGGGGCCGCGAATCGGGCAGCGTGTCGCACCGAGGCGCGGAAGCCCGCACTGGCGGAGAGAAACGCTGTCCAAAAGCTCCCGACCGTGCTGCTCTCACGGCCACTGACGGCCCGTCGTGCTCTGCTTCCCGCCAGGGGGCGGCCCCGCAGGGCCCTGGGGACAGAAAGCCATCCCACAATCCTGGCCGAGGGCCCATCCAAGGGCAAAGCACTGAAACTCCATCGAGCTTGCACTTGTGAACCCAAATGCGCCGCCATACCTTCAGCACGCAGCGCGCGACAAGGCTCATGCAGCTCCGTAGGCTAGATAGAAGCTTTGTGAGCATCTGAAGGGCCCAGACCAGGAAATGTCCAGAAGAGCTGGGCGCTCCTCCGCGTGGAGGGCGAGGCCCCTTCGGGCTGTCGCGCTGTGTGCGGCAGTCTGGCTGGGTACAGTCAACCCGTATACCCGTCGGTCGGCAGAAGCAGGCAGAACCAGGAAGCAGGAAGGCGTTGGAAGTAGTTTGGGCTTCCGCCCGACGTCTGAGGAGGAAGGGAAAGGAAAAAACACCCAATGGTCGAAGTAGGAGGTCACCCAAAGTACATCGGGATCTGGGGATCCGAAACACCTACCTGTCGACGACTGGCGTGCAACGCTCTGCCCCTGGGGGCCCTGAACGGGCCGTGAGACCACAGGGACTCCGCTGCACGCCGCCGGCTTTCCCGGCGGCTCGGAGCGCCAGAGGCGGCCGTGTGTCGAAGGCAGCGGAGGCAACGCAGATGCATGCGCCACCCGGCAGCCTGCACGTGGCGTGCCGCGCTGGCGGCCCGCGCGAGACGCGGCGTGAGGCCGCCGTGCCAGTTTGCGCAAGACCCTCGGCGGCGAGCGAGGGAGGGACTTGAGCAGGAGAAGGCCCTCTCCGAAGGCGGCGGGGCTTCTCAGAGGCCCTCCAGCCTTCCGAGGAGTTTCCTGCGCCACCCAGCAGCCCGGGGCCAGCAAAAAGCCTCCTGCGCGCTGGCGCGGCCTCACGGCTCGAGCTCGCCCCGCCTGGCCCTCCGCCGCCTTTCCCGCCTCACCTGCGGGAGGCCAACCGCGAAGGGGCCCCAGGACACACCCAGAAATGCGCACACATTGAAAGATTCCCCATGTTTCCCCATGTTTCCTCTGTTTTTGTGTCTTCCCCCCCCCACTTCCCATATTTTCCCATACGGCAGGTTCGTGTCGTGCCGACCCCAGCGTTGGTTTTTGACACCGCAGGGATCGTTCAACCTTGAACGATCGGCCGCTGCCGCAACGTCCGATCGTTCAACATCGATCGATTCTGGGTCGCCGGCGGCGTTCAACCTGGAACGCCCGCGCTGGGGCCGCCGCTGGTCGACACGACGCAAACCTACCGTACTTTCCTGGGGCTCGACGATTGATCGTGGCCGTGTGCTTGTCCCTCCTGAAACCAGACGCGGCTGGAGCCGAGGGGGCCGGAGGGCCGCGCCACAGCGCCGATGCACGGGCGACGCCGGGACGGAAGAAGCTGGGCCCCGGGTGGGGGGCTGCGTCGGCGGGGCGTCGGAGGCGCGGCACGGCGGTGGGGCATCGGATATGGGAGCCCTCCTCCTCCTCCTCCTCCTCCTCCTCCTCCTCCTCCTCCTCCTCCTCCTCCTCCTCCTCCTCCTCCTCCCCCTTGCTTATCCTTTTCCTCCTCCTCCTCCTCCTCCGCCTCCTCCTCCAACGAATCCGGAGTCTGGAAGCCGTGGGGATGCCAATCGTGGAGCGGCCATGGACATCACCGCCGCCCTCATCGGGCAAGGAATGCTCCCGATTCTGAAGCCTCCTGAGCACACCCCTCAACTGACATCCTTCCTGCATCCTCCGACCCCATCTGCTCTGGCGCCACTTGTCGGGGAGACGTAAGACTCGAATTTCAAGGACTCGAGTTGGTCTGATAAGGCCGTCAGAGAAACAACGAGGCCAATTCGAAATTTGGCAACAACTCCCGCTGCAAACATCCCACGAAAACTGGGCCGTCAAGATAAATAGTCAAAAACCGTCGGCAAGCCCGAGTTCGGGCGAACCCGAAGTATACGCCGTTCCAAACCTGGGAGGCCTGGAGAAAGAGGGAGAAGGAGAAACAACGTTACGCATGGAGTCAGTTTGATCTCGAACACTCCGCACCCCACGCAGCAAGGAATGAGAGCGGGCGGAAACCCCTTACAGAATAGCATCGCACATGTAGAAGCGCAGGACGGGGAAGAAAACGTGGGGGAGGGCCGCGATGACAAACACGGCTCTGTGGAATCAACGAAATGGCGGAGAGAGACATGTTACACCAACACCCAAGACAGTAAAGGGAGCGGTCGGTTGGTGGTTCAGGAGGCACGTCACGGTGGCTGAGCGACTCGAGAACTTGCATATACTCCAACAAATCAGCCTCAGCAGCGATCTCTTCGAACCTGGCGCGGCTGGATGGCAGGCCGTCGATCTCGCGGCCTTGGGGGCGAATGAATGAACAACCCTGCCTGCTGTTGCATGCCCTGCCCAACCAGCACATCGCCCCCCGTCGCCCGACGAAGGCGGCGGGCTTCCACGCGAGGGGCTCGCAGCCGCGGCACCGCGAGGCCCTGGTGAGCGCGAGGGCGCAGAACGCGCCGAGCCCGAGGCTCGACCACCCGTCGCGCCGCCAGGGGGTTGCCCACCCACCTCCACGGTCCAAGGGCGATCGGGAGACGTGCTGACCTCCGCGCGCAAGGAGCTGGTCAACTCCTGGACAGTTGCGAGCCGCTCACACAAGCACCCGTTAATGTTCCCAACGTCATGTCCCAGGCGCTTCTCACCACGTGGCAGCAGCTCCATCATCTTCACCATGCGCTCTTCCGCAACAAGCATCATGCGCTTCGAAAGACTCGGGCGACCGACTCCGCAACGTTCGACGCAACAGCCTGGACTATCTCGCGGACCGCGCCAGACAGCTTAAGCACGAGCTCTGACATAGCAGAAGAAACAGAATATGGAATCTTGGAGCAAATATAACCAGACAGTTCGTCAAAACGCCGGTGAATGGCATCCGCCCCGGAATGCCGACGGCCCGCATCACCTCGAGCAGGCCCCACGCTAGCCGCCTCCGGCGACACACCCAACCGCGAGCAGGAGGAGGAACCCGAAGAAGGCAAAGAACGAGGCGAATCTCCAAATTCATCCAGATCACCCCGACGCTTGCCAATCGCTTGTCTTTAAATCGCAGGAAGACCAGAGCACGCAGCCAGCTCGGAATCGTAATTAAATTGCGCTTTATGCAGCGCATCAGGCACACGCAACAGACTGGCACTCCGCCGCATGGATAGCTGGGGTCTGCCTCGGACTGGACGAAGGTGCGTCCTTGCGAAATCCATTGCATGAGTACGAGGGCTGTCGGCGCCTGCGACCCCCCGCAAATCGATGGGCGACAACGCAGGGGCCGACGCACCGTTCAGGGAAAGCCGCCGCCAGCAGAGCCTCCAAATCGGAGGGCAATGGTTCCGCCCCAGTGTCCGTGACATGACGAAGAATCTGAAACGCATTGTCAAGCTGCCAGAGACGCCTGCTGGTCTGGGATGGAAGAAACCATCGCTGCGAATGCACGGGGACGTTCGAACCACTGAGATGTTTCTTAGAATACGCGGATATCTACCTCGGCGATTTGCCCGCCAATACAGGAATACAACCATTGACATCAAAAGTGGAAGCCATCCGCTCGAGAAGAGGGAAAGCAGGGTGGCAAACAAAGCTAGCCGTCCTGCGCCGCAATGGCCACGGATGAAGAAGGGGACGGAGGAAGAGGAGGACGAGGATCATATCACATCAGAACAGACATCTACGGGGCTGAGCTTCAGATCTCGACTGAATGAGACGCCACAGGACCGACTCAACGGCCGTAAATTTCGGGCCACCCGTCCGCCCTGACTTGCCTGGGCATCGAGGCCCCAAACAAACCACTGCAAAAATCGCACCCATGGAATCCTGACAAGCGGACAGCGGACCTAGCTACGCGTTCCCCGAAACGAGAAAACATGAAACTCCCCATTGCGTAAATCCTGGCACGCTGAACAGACGGAGCAGGGAAAGAAGGAAAGGACGACGACACCACGGGAGGGACACGACAGGGGCGGGAAGGGATTGGAGCCTCCTCCAGACAGGCAGAGGCAGCACGGGCCTCAGGAGACCCCGAAGCGGGACACGCAGAGCGGGGGCGAAGCCGCGGCGCGTCTCGAGGAAGCGGAAATAATTTCACTTGATGTGGCGATTGCGCCACTCAAGGATACAATGTCACGTTGAGAAATTGTAAGTATGGCGCCCGTTGTTCGCGCCCTCACGCTGTCCGACAACATCGCATCACAGCCACCGCCAGACACCTGTTCACTCACACCATTGAATCCGCCATCTCGTCGCCCATCATGAACATCTGCAGCGCTCTCTCCAAGCGGCCCATAGGCGCCGCACCCCCCGCCATCGCGGCCCCCACCTACTCGCGGCAAGCAGCGAACGCGTCGGGCGACTCCTGCCGCGGCATCAACACCGCGCACATGCTCTCATTGAAACCTGCTTGAATTTTGACTAGCGGGAAGGGCGACGCCACCTCGGCCGAGGTCAATATCGCCATCTCCGCCTTCCACTCTGCATTCATCGCACCCGCATTTAGCCGCGCCCACTCGCGCCCTTGCGCCAACCCCACTAGACGCGCTACCGATGTCGCACCCACTTTTGGGATTTCGCAGTCTTCGCCCCAAGCCCCCCAGTCCCGCGCCGCCTCCGCCCGCGATTTCACCGCGGCCCTGGCCTTAAGGGCGGAGGGGGAGTTGTCGGGCATCAGGGGTGCCTAACAGAGCAAAGGCCTCTTGCTGTCTCACGCGCCTCGCCGCGTCAATCGCCATCTCCACTAGTGCGATCACGATGTTTTGCGCCTGCGCCAGCTCCATCTCCTCCAGGTCCTCGGCCATATTCGGGCCCGCGGTGCGGTCGCTATGCTTCTTCTGCGTCGCCGTCTCGGCCCGACCGCCATCGCCCCCCCGCCCGTCGCGTCGCGCCCGGGGCCTCTCGCCCACGGGCGCGGCAGGAGGGGTCGCCGCAGACGCGCCGGACAAGCGCTGGAAGTGGAACAAGAAGGCGAGACCGCAAGTGAAATTGCAGAGCTTCGAAGGTCTGAACAGGCTGCGAGAATTCGGGGCACGCGCGCGCATCGGGAACCTCCGCTTGAGGACTGGACTTAGACGAATCTACCCAAATCCTCGCAAACGCACACGCATGCTCACGACGCGGGATATCCGCACCCCTGACCTCGAGCGTCGATAAGCACGCAATTCATTGATTCGCGGGGGCAAGCGCGGACGCAATGAAGGCGCATCACGTTCGCCATCCGCGGCAGCCCGCGGCGCATCAGCAATGCCTCGCGGGAAGCGCACCCTCGATCCCAAACGCAACCACACGCAGTCAACAAACACAGCACAGCAGCAAACAGCATCAGAAAGTCCCTCCGGCTTGAGTGGGCCATCCCAGGCGGCACCTTGTCTCAGGGGCCACTCAGCACGAAATTGTTGCACGTCAAACTTCTCGCAAACATCAGAAGCCCCGTTGTCCCCGCTAAGCACCGCCATGAGATCACCTTTTCGCAAGTTCCAATGCCCCCCTTTCTTCTGCGCGCCCCATATATTCCAGGTCCTGGAAGAATTGCTCGGCCCCGGGGTCGCCCCTCGAAGCGCCCCTGGGCGTAGTCTCACAGCGAGGGCACCAAGTAAACGCAGACCCCACTCCGTTCTCTATTTCCAAGGCCCCCTGACACAGCCGCGAGTCGTTCAGCGCGCCGCCCTGGCGATCGAGCGCACGTTTCGTCGCCCCTGCAAACGTTGCACTCTGGGCTCCAGCCGAGATGGCGCATGTCCAGCACGTCGCCACATTTCGACTGCAGGCAGAAACCAGATCACGATAATCTCCGCGCCACCAGGGCGCACCACTGGCACTCCGACAGCCACTCCCCAAAAAAGAACCCCCTCAGGCACTTGAAGCAAGCGGCCTCGAGACAAGCAGTTCGGCACTCGAACCAGATCGAGGC